CACCGGGAGATGTTTGGGGACCCCCATCCACACACATGGTGATGGACTGATGGAGCCCAGCTCCAGATCCTCCTCCTTCCTCCCCACCTCAGCRGGACAGGGCTGTCCCCATCCCCACTGGGGATATCTCCACAGGGCACACCAGAGGACCCCTCCCCACTGCCACCCACCACGGGAGCAGGTCCCCAGGGGGGACTGACATACATGAGTCCCTGCTTGAAGTAGGCGCGGAAGGTCTCGCTCTCGTGYCCCTGGACCTCGCGGTGCTGCACGGCCACTGTGCCCAGGTGATCATCCATCTGGGTGGTGTAGATGGCAGCCGCCCCCTGCTCRTCCTGGCTCGACTCCTTGCCCAGCCAGTAGTGGATGTCGTAGCTGAAGCTGCTCCCAGATTTGCGCGTCTGCAGGACAGGGGTCCCCGCTAGAAGAGCCCTGGTGACCCCACTCTGGCCACAGACACCACTCCCTGCCCCCAGCCCCCTCAGGGCAGAGCCCATCCCCATTCCCCATTTGACCCCTGAATGCCCTACCGACAGCAGGACRTAGCAATCCCCCTCGTAAAAGTTGCCGTAGCTTTTGGTGGGCACGGGCACCATCTCCATGTTCTGCAGAAGGAAGGGAGATGTCAGTCCCAGTGGGGAACCCCTACCCCCCAGCCCCATCAAACCCCCTGCCCTCAGCACCAGGACCTGCTGGGTCTAACCTGGATGCTGCAGAGACCCCCCCAAACCCTGGTACTGAGGATCTTCCCTCACAGAGAACCCCCCAGCAGCCCAGTGATGTCCCCACCTCGATTCGCCATATCTGGATGCCCGGCGTGGTCTTGTTGAGCGTCCTGGTGACTTTGGCGCTGAGCTCCACCATGGTGACAGGTACTACAGGCAAGGGGACCTGCCAGCATCGGCAACACCCTYGTTAATGGCAGCAGTGTCATTAAGGGCTGGGACACAGCCAGCCTGCTGTGCCATCTGCTGCCCTGCTTGCTCAGCAGAGAGCCCGGCTGTAAACCCCCCTGTACGGAGCTGCMCGGGGCCAGGGGACCCCCAGCACTGCGGTGTCGGTCTGTGGGCACACAGCTGCGGCTGCCACCCCCCAGTTGGGCTGGCACTGTGGCTAATGGGTCCAGACCCTGGTCCAGAGTCCAGGGGGGGCAGGTACAGGGTTCCTGAGGTGCCCCAGTGCCCTGCCCTGTCTCCAAGTGTGGGACGGGGCTGTGCAGGGCACCCACAGCRCAGCAGCCACAGCTGGGTGACACCACTTCACAGTGGCCCGTTCCTCCCCAGGACCAGCAGGAACTGGCCCTGCTCAGCCTCGTCCCAGCAGGGCTTGGCTGAAGTGGAACGGCACGGCACAGCCACTGCTTGCAGCACAACACACACAGACACACTCACACACACACTGCCTGCTCCAGAGCCCGGCTTGTGACCCCCCAGCACATCCATGCCCCAGGGAGGGCACATCCTGGCCCCAGGGCAGTGCTGACAGTGCCAGTGCCGCCCAGGCTGTCACAGGCATCTCTGCCAGGCTGACAGTGCTCCCTGCAAGTGGCAGAGGGGCAGGGCAGCCCGTGTCAGGCAAAGCCTCCCCGTGTGTTCCCGCTGGGGGCTGGCAGGGAGCGCTGCCATTGCCCAGAGGGGAGGTCTCTGCTTCCTCAGCCCTGCAAAACCCCACCTGGCCCCACTGTGCAGCCCCAAAAGCACCCACATCCCATCCCTCAGAKCCAGGGGGTAGCATCTTCCACAGCACAGCCCCAAGGTGGGGCTCAGGTGGGTCCCCAAACCCCAGCCCAGGCTAATTGAAGCCATGAGTGATGGTGGCTGCGGGATGTGCTGTCCACCCCATGCCCACCATCCCTCCCCTCACCCTACCCCRACTCCTCACCTTCCCTGCAGAGCTGGGCACAGGTGAGCGTACCTAGGTGGAGTGCTCGGGTGCCAGCACCCAGGAGACCTTTGTTCCCTCTCGTCCCTGCCTATGCTCACCATATAAGGGCAGGGACAGCCCAGAGTCAAGGTCCCCACAGCCCTCCAAGACTYTGTGGCACCTTGGAGCCCCGTTACTCATGGGGTGTTTCCCCCCAGGTGTCATTGTACCCTGTCCACAGACTGGCTGTGCCCAGGGTGGTGTCTCTGCCCACTCCCGGCCTGTTCCCCTCTTGGCCCTTGGCACCGAGCCCATGAATTGCTTTTCTTTTGCACCCCACCAAGATGCTCCATAAAGTGACAGCAAAGGGTTGGACCAGGACACGTGGGCAACAGCCACAGAGGTACCCTGATGCCATAGGGATGGGATTTGCCACTGTTCTTCACTCCCCAGACTCCAAAATCCCCAAACCCTCCCAGACGTGGAGCACTATGACCATGGAAATGGGGATTTTTTGGTGCCTCCTCYCCCTGAAAAGGATCCCTAAAGTGACAGCAATGCAGCACCATCATCTGGGGWTCCCCTTCCACCCCCTGACTGGCATCCCCATCCCCAACTGGCAGCCACCCTGCCCCAGGACTGTCTCCAGACTGTCTCACTCCCCAGCTAGAAATCGGATCCCTGGTCATTCCTTTGCCTTCCCGCCTTGGGTGTCTCCACAGCCTCAAGGCCCTTTGGGGATGGGAAGGGACAGGACAGGACACAGAGTGGTGGCACAGCTCAGCCCTACGCCCTGTCCYATGCCCCCTACTCCCGTCCCAAGGGCTGGCATCTGATTGTGCCCTTGCTGCTGGCACAGAGGAGAGAGCACTGAAGTGGCTCCCAGGCCCGAAGRTGGTTTTGGGGAATGACCACGGCCTACATAAAGGTGGGAGGGGCGGGTGTCAGCAGCAGGAAGGTCCCCGGGCTTCCCATCCCGCTCTTATCTCTTCCCCAGCTCTGCGGGAATGCCGCAGCTTTATCGCAGCTTTATCCTGGTTTCCCTGCTGAGCCAGCAGTCCCGGCCACAAGCGCTGCGGGCATCCCGTACCCSGCCTGCGCTGCAGCGAGCCCCAAATCCTGCCTGACCGTCCCCCCTCCCGGCAAGGATCCCCAAAGGGATGACAACGGGCTGAACCAGAACGGGGGACGTGTCAGGAACAAACAAGGCTGATGGCACAGGGATGGGCTCTGCTCTCCACTCCTTGGCCCCCAAATTCCCCAAACCACGCCACCCAGCTCCCCCCTCCTGCACCCCACACGAGTGTCCCGTGGGACGCTTACCTGGGTGCAGAGCGCCCAGTGGGGCTCTTTGGGGTGGGRTGGAACGCTCAGGTGGCCGCTGTCGCCCTCCTCTCAGTGGCTGCGCCCCAGGGCTGAGCCCRGCACTGTGGCACAGGGGTTGGGGACCCCACGGCGGCCCCAGCGGGCTCACCCCCTCCCCGGGCCCCCCAGCCGGGCCACTAATGAACTCAGTAATTAGTGCAGCCATCAGGGAGGACAGAGACTGCGCTAATGAGGGGAGGCACAGGGCCAATGAGGGCACGGGGGAGGGGGCAGCTGACAGACACCCCCCAGGAACCCAGTGCCGGCAGGTTGGCAGCGGACTGCCTGGGGATGGGGTGGCACCAGTGCCCCCCAAGTGCCCCCAATCTCAGGGGAAAGCCTGACACCTCACGTGGAGCAAAGTCATTGGAAGTCTCAAAGCCGGGAAGGCGGCACAGCCGACAGGGTAAATTTGTCCTTGTGCTTGTTAAGGGGCAGGGTGCCCAGCCCCCTGGCACCAGGGACCTTTTCCAGGAGGAGGGGAATGCGTTAGGATGGAGGTGCCAGGGCAGCCAGGGGAGGCTGTCATCGAGAGTGAGGGTGTCCCCTTGGCACCAGGCAAGGGATGACACCCAAACCCCAGCAATCCAAGGGTGCTCCCCCAGCACTGACCTGCAGCATCCCCCCTTCCCGGGGGATTCAGGYGATCCCGGGGGCTCCACAGCGCCCAGCTGTGCACAGCCACTAGCRACACACAAGCGACATGTGCCCGTGCCAATGCATACACACACTCAGGACCACTCTTTCCAAGATGGTTTGACAGCTTTAATCACATGAAGGCACTTGGATCTGGTACCCAGCCCTCCCCAGCCCCCTGATTCCATCTCTGCACCCCCCAGATGTCTCAAGGTGCCCAAGGTGGGGTCCGTACTCCTCGGGTGTCGCAGCACCCACAGGCACTCGCTGGGCAGCGGCTGTGCTGGCGCCCTTTGACTTGTCTAATATAAAGTGCTGAGTTCAACCCTCCCGGCGGGGCAGGATGAGGCCGGGGCTGGCAGGGATCCAGGGGGCTGTGCTGCACCACCCCCCATGCCAGCCCCCGGCACAGGGCAGGGGTGGAGGCAGGGGTGTGGGTGGGGCTGGGGGACCCCTGCTTGCCCCCAGCACCGGGAGCAGGGCAGTGCCGGCAGGAGCCGGCTGAACAGCACCGGAAAGCTAAAACCCCTCGCACCCACCCCCCCAATACTGCCCCRCTCCCTTTGCTGGCACAGCGCTAAAAAGGCACCCATGATTTTTTGGGAAACCGTTGCTTTTCCCTCTAAAAAGATATGAGGCATTGTCCATATTGTGACATTAAAATGGGCCTGGCTGAACTCAGCCCCCCCCAGAAAAACCCTGAGAGCCCCCAGCCCCTCAAAGCTGGGCGGCACTCTGGCACGAGTCCAACCCCACGGGGGTCAGGGTARCCCCAGGCTATGGGGGAGGAGCTGCAGTGCCCCCCACCCCTGTCCCAGCTGGGGTAAGGCTGGCAGGGGCACATTAAGGCTGGCACGGGGGTCCCTCTCTCCTGGCACCGGCAGCCTTTAGTGAAGCTGCAGATGGACACGGAGCRGGGTGTGGCACCCACCAAGGGAGGGGACCCCCGCTGGTGACTAGAGTGGCTCCCAGTGACACAGTGTAACTGGAGAGGGGGGGTGGCCACCTTCCCCCCCAAAATGGGAAGAAACCGAGGTTGGAGGAGGCCAGTGARGAGCCCCTCCGCAGCACACCCCTCGCAGGGCTAAGGCGGGACAGAGACGTGGTGTCCCAAGGCACGTGGGGGGACAACCCAGGGGCTCGGCCCTGAGGCCGGGCTGCCCCCGAAAAAMACGGCCCCGGGGTGGGGGCAGCAGGCACGAACAGGGGCAAGGACATGCCCCCCACGAGGTGATAACTGCACCAGGGCAGAGTTAAGGGTATGGTGGCAGCTCTACGCACCAAGGCCAGTAAGACTCCCTGCTTTTTTGGAGGGTGACAAGGTGTTAACTGGCCCCGTAGTCCCTGCAGACTGGGGCCAAGGGCCACCAGCCTCCCGGCAGGCAGAGTCTGGCTGGAGGGATCTGGTCCCCCACCAAAGGCAGTGGAAAGCAGCAGCTGCTGACCCCGCCCCCCCTCCCCAGTCGGGGGACAGAGGGGAAAAGGACCTGAGAACCGTTTTGGGGAGGGGGGACACAGGGTGAGGGGGAGAGGGCAGGGGCTGAACAGTGGGGGAGGACGGGACCCCCCCAGTAGGTCCTCAGCACAGCAAGGCAACAGGTCACCCACGGCCCCCCTTCTCTGAGAAAGGGGGGAACCCAGCTTCCCGGCGGGGGCACCCACATCTCCCACCACCAGCAGGCATGGAGGGCACCACGCCCGCCGGGGCTGGGGAGGATGATGCGGGGCACACCGGGACCCTCCCTCCCCCAGATAAGGCACCTGGCTCCCCCGACGGTGCCCCTTGGCAGCACCTGCAGGGYGGGGGGCCATTAGCTGTTAGTCCGCTGCTTCTTGAGCACTGCGTACACGTCCTCCACCTTGCTGAGCCTCTCGAAGAAGGGCAGCAGGTCCAGCAGCTCTGTGTCCGCCATGTTATCGAACCAGGAGGCCACCGGCACCTGCGGGGGGCACGGGGAACAGCACTGAGAGGGGGTCCCCGCCCACATCCCCTCCGTAACCCACCCAGCCTCACCCTGGGGGCACATACAGCGTTATCGGGGTGGAAGATGTAGGATGCGGGAGAGTTGTCCACGATGATGATTCGGCGCAGGTCGCGGCCCAGGCGGCTCAGGTCCTTCACGTAGTTGCCGCGGTGGAAAACGCAGGACTCCCGGAAAAGCCGTGCCCGGAAAGCCCCCCATTTATCCAGCAGGTCAGCCACGGGGTCCGCATACTGCRGGCACAGGAAGGGTGTCACCATGACACGCCACAGCACCCTGCCCACCCCACAGTGACAGTGGTACCCAGCTCTCCACTGTGCCTCAGTTTCCCTGGCCAGTGCCTCGGAGGGGCGGGTAGGGAGGCTGCCCYGTGCTGGCACTGCCTGTGGGTACACAAGGGACAAAGGGCCAGCGATGCCCRCGGGCGGGCAGGTGAGGGAGCTCGAGGGGTGTCTGGGATGAGGTGGGCGATGGCAGAGGGGGTCAGGGGCACCCACCTTGGCCAGGCTGGCGGTGAAGAGCACGCACTCGAAGAGCTCGCCCATGCGCTGCAGGAACTCGTCCACGTGYGGCCGCTTGAGCACGTACACCTGCGGACACGGGCAGAGGGCAGCGCGCCACTGGCACCGGCCAGGGCTCACCCTGCACCCCTGTGCCCTCCCAGGGGACACCTGTGTCCCCACACCCAGCCAGGGAGCAGCTCCCTGGCCACTCCTCACGGGGGCTGCCTGTGCCAGCCGGGGGATGCCGTGGCCCTGCAGGAATGTCTGGGGCGAAGCCTTTGGCCGGCTCCGGAGCCAAGTAACCGAGAACAGGCTGACTGCCCAGACCACAGCCTATCCTGGATTACTTGAAACCAGGGCTGGCCACTGCACGAGGGCACCACGCCAGGACCCCCTCACCTCCCTGCCCTGCAGAAAGAGGGGCACCCACGTCTGCCCCGCAACATGTCAGCCCTGACACCTCCGACTGCCCCTCGGTGCAGAGCACTGGGATGGCTCCCGGTCCTCAGGGAGGTGGAACGATGCCCCCTCCCACCAAGCACCCATCCTGCTGTTACCTGGTGCATGATGCCGTCGATTTCCACGGGAATGATGAAGTCGGCGTTGTTCACCGGCTGGGGAAGGGCACACCAGGATCAGCACCGGGCACACCAGGCACCCCTTGCCCAAACGCTGCCTGCCCTCTGCCCACTGTGCACCCCTGCCAGCCCCRCAGCCCTCTCACAGGGACACCCCATCTGATCCAACCAGGCTGTGCTGGGTTCTGGATATCACTTAATGGGAAAAGGGCGGCAGAGCAGGTGGGGGAGCATGTGGCAAGAGGTGTGGGGTGGGCCAGGGTGTCCCGCACCTTGAAGGAGCTGTGTACCAAGGTCTCATCCAGGTCGATGACCACACAGAGCTTGCTGGCATCCTGTGGCTTGATCTCWGGCAGGAGGTGTTTGACAGCAGCCTGCAGCATGAGGGCACAGGGGTCAGCAGGGTAACAACAGGGTGCCCACCCAGAGGGGGGGCACTGGGAGAAGTGACAATTAACCCCCATCCTGGCCACACAGGGGAGGCACAGAGGATGGACAGCCCATTGCCTCCAGTGCCAGGCTGGGGTGTGGGGTTACCTTGGGCAGTGCCCCGTTCTCCTCCACCAGCAGCGGAGCRCCAGTGGTGCCAGTGCAGGGCTCCCCTTCATCGCGGCACAGGCAGCAAAACAGGGACTGGAGGATGCTGCGGCTTCGAGGCTTCTTGGTAGGGGTCTGGGTACCTGCGGGAGGGCAGAAGGGGGGTAAGGGGCACCCCGGGGGGGCCTTGGCACAGCACTGGGGGGCAGGTAAGCCAGGTTTTGGTGCTGCCACAGAGCCCCCACGCCCTTATCAGCCCCCAGCACCCATCCGGCCGCCCTTCCTGCCCCACCAAGCAACGGTGCCAGAGCAATGTCGCTCACACGTGTGTGGTGTCCACCCACAGTCCCTCAGCCGGCCCATCCCACTCCACGAGTGACCCCCGTGGGCACCCCCTGCGTGGCTGCAGACCCTGCAACAAAGGCGTGGAGCCGAGCCCGGGGGCAGCCGTGGAGCCGAGCCCGGGGGCAGCCGTGGGCCCGGGACCGGTCCCCGCTGTCCTGCCCCGTGGGGCACAGACCCACTCGGGAGGGGTGGTCCTGGGGGCGGGACCTTTCGGAGGGGGCGGGGCTTTCGCCCTTTCTTTTGCCCGCCTCCAGAACACTGAATCCTCTCATTGGCCGACTTGAGCGTACCCGGAGGAGTGCAACCAATGAGGGGGAAGCGTCCGCCTCTGGCACCGTTCCCGCGGTCCCCATTGGCGGAACGAGGGGAAACTGAGGCAGAGGGGCTGCCCCTGCCCACCCCGTGCCCCAGGGGCAGCGCGACGGTTCCAGCCCGACCCCACCGGCCCCGGGGCCAGGTCCTGCCGCAGTCCAGGTCGGGGCTGCACCCCGCCCTCGCTGTGTACCCCTTCAGGCGGGCCAGGGCCCCGAGTCCCGTAGTGGGGAGCCCGTGGGGCAGGAGCTCCCCACTGGGGACGGGGTTCGTTCCCGCGTTTGCTCCTTCCGGGCCTGGCAGCTCCCCAGGCCAGGGGGACGAGCAGCGGCCCCCGCYAAACCCCCTTGGCGGGGTGGAGAACGCGGGGATCGGGACGCTGGGATGCACCAGAGAGCCCGGCGCTCGGCCCCCTTCCTCCCCGCCGGCGCTGCGCGCACCCTTCGCCAGGCTCCTGAGGAAACAGCGCAGATACTGAGCAGCACCCCGAGCCTTCCAGGGCCATSGCCGGGCTCCGAGGGGGCGGGAGCAGCCAGCCCCGCTCGCTCCGAGCTGCAGCCCCAGCGCATCTCCCCAGCCTGGGCAGCGGGATGCACGGGGGCGGGCAGAGGCGGCGCGCAGCTCCTCACACCCTCCGGGAGCAGCCCCCGCAGGCCCCCAGCCCCCCGGGGACCTCCCCCTCTCCCCTCTCCCGCACAGGAAGGGGCTGGGGGGGGAATATCCCCCTCCGCTTTACCTTTCTCCTGCAGCGGGGCGCTCCCCTCCTCCCTGCTAACCTGGGCGATGATGGACTGGTGCTCCATGGGCGCCGGGGAGG